TAAAAAACAAAATTGATTAATGAGAGATGATTTTTAGTATCAAAAAATTTATTTTATGTAATAATTTAAGTTATTGTATATTATATAATTTAAATTTAAAAATTTTTATTTTTAATAAAAAAAATTATTATTGAATTATTTATATTATTAATTGTAGTAAAATAATTGTTTTTAAATTTAAAAAACTTTTTAATGTTAAATATTTTTTATTTAAAATTTTACACCTTTTACAATTTAAGTGTTATTTAAATTATAAAATAAAGATTCATTTGATTATATTCCAAAATACATGGTATTTTGATTTTTGGCATCTGTGCCAACTCAACGTGATTCTTCTTGATTCTTCTACACTTAAAATAAAAAAGGTTAAACCCCTATTTTGGTCCCTAAACTATTATACGGACCTCTGATTTGGTCCCTAAACTAAAGAAATCCCTAATTTGGTCCTTGAACTATTGTACGGACCTCTGAGTTGGTCCCTAAACTATTGTACGGACCCCCGAGTTAATCTCTAAACTATTACACAGATCTTCAATTTGGTTTATACTGTTTATCAATTTAGTCCCAATCTTTCTGTTAAATAATAGCTCAGAGACCAAATTGAGACGAAATTGTAAATAGTAAGGACCAAATTAGAGATTCGTACAATAGTTTAAGGACCAACTTAGGCCAAATTATAAACAGTGGGACCAAATTGAAGGTCTGTATAATAGTTTAAGGACCAAACAGAGATTTCTTTAGTTCAAGGATTAAATCGAGGGTCCGTATAAGGATTAAATCGAGGGTCCGTATAATGGTTCAGAGACTAAAATAAAGATTTAACTAATAAAAAATCCTGTATCTTACTGTTAGTACTGCAGTGAATAAAAAATAAAATTGATTAGTGAGAGATAATTTTTAATATTAAAAAATTTATTTTATGTAATAATTTAAGTTATTGTATATTATATAATTTAAATAGTAAAATATTTTTTTTATAAAAGATACGCTAATTTTAATTGTCTATTCCATTTTAATTCTTAAAAGATTTATTAATAAAAAAATGTATTATATAGTTTAGATAAGATGATAAAAATGGAGAAA